GTGGAGGTGGTCAGGGTAACAATTTAGATTTCCTCCAGGTGACTGTCAGGCTGTAGCAGCAGCAGCAACAGCAGTGACTCCAAGGGACTGTCACACCTCATGCTGAGCTGTAAATTTCTACACAGACTGTTAAGGATATAAGTAATACATAGGCTTGTCAGGCTGTGGCCCCACTAGTTTTTAAAACTATTTTTAATTTTCTAAGTTAAAGAATCCTTAAAAAGACATTTAAAACAATTTGAAAATTGTTAAAAATTTTGGTAATGTCCAAAACTTATAACCTTTTGAATTTTAAACTAAAACTTACACAATTTTTACAGCATGCTGATTATTTTTATCTTGAACATGTTCACAAACACATACAAAACGAACACAAATCTTAAAGCGCACAAAAATCAAAATCAGTACATTTAAAACTTGTATCAATTCTACAACAGAACTAGACAAGACAACAACCAAAGGCTGAATTGGGGGCTAATGGGCCCCCAGTTTATCCATACCTCAGAAAACATAGCAGAGAACACACTGAAGTAAACAAGATAGACAAGTGGCCCCAAAGACAAAATCAAGTCTCAGTGAATGGCGAGACATCTCACCACCATTCACAAGTGGGACTCAAATCCACTTACCAGGGGACTCAAACCCCCTGTACTCAAGATTTTTCTTTTAGATTCCTGCTTACCTTGACCCAGGGGCCTTCCCAGATGGAGGAAAATTCCCAGTCATCTTGGGGCAAGAGAAAGGAGTCACTAACGGCTGTTCCCTCAGCCTGACACATCCCCCCCCATACTCAGACCCCTTAGGCTAAGGCACGAGACTAAGATCTTGCTGGTGTCACTTGCAGGTGGTCAATGGCAGTTTCATCCAGCTGTGAGTTCTCCCTGCCAGCTCTTTTAAGTTATTGTTAGATCCTCCAAGTTTTTCACCCCCCACCATTCCCCTACTTCGGGATCCAGGGAGGGTGGAGGAGGTGGCAGTGAAAGGTAGAAAGGGGGTCAGTTTAAAGTGTAAGTAACAAAGAAGGAGCTAGAGAGAAACAGATATTGAGGGGGTGTTAGCCAGCCTCCTCCAGGCTCTGGCATCAGGATGAATCTGATAGAAGAAACATTCCAAGAATTCCAAAATACATACACACAAACATTGAGACAAAACACATTTACAGCATGCGCATTGTAGACTGTCAGACAAAAAGTGCTGGACTAGAGACTGGCCCAAATATCTGCACTAGTGGATAGTTTACCCTGATGGGGATCCCGGGGACGTCTCCCACCGGCCCAGTTGGCTGTCTCATAGCTTGTCCGCCAAGACTCTTGCCAACCCCAATACAGAATCTGCAGGCTACACAGATACCAGACAATTACAAAGCAGCAATGTTTTAACTTACAGGACATTTGCATCATAGTGTCCCTGAATCCTTTTTTCTTTTTCTTTTTTTTGCTAAGTTTCTAAACTAATGATTCCTTCCTCCAGGAACCAGGGGCATACTTCCTTGACAAAGCAAAAGATACTCTCTAACTGCCTCTGTCCAACTTTCACTCCTTGAGCTTGAAGCATGCTCTAAGAGCCTGCACATATAATGTGCAGCTGTTACCTTGCCCCATAATTTCTTACTCCTGATTATACTATCACCTGCTCTCTTTTTCCAGAAGGGTCCTTTTAACTTAGCAGGTCCTCTGCTTTGATCCCAGGTTTTCAGGTCCCTGTTCGGGCACCACTTGCCAAAGCCTGCCGACAATGAAAGGAAATCCTGAATTAGGGGAGAGGATGCAGAAAAATAAAGACATAAGACGAAGGATGGGGTCTGGAGGTCTGCAGCTAAAGACTGCAACACCATTTACTTTTAATTTTCCCTAATATATACTATTAGAAGTCAAGAGGTAACATAAGGTTACAATAGTCCAGAAAAACAAGGATAATTTCAGTAAAAAGAGTGCAGTAAAGACAGGACAAGGTCAACTGGTAGAAAGTAAAACAAACTCTGCAGACATAACAAAGAAATCCCGGGCACCTGGTGTTTTTCAAGAAAGCCAGCTCCTTGTTTGTGCCTTCAAGTGAGCACCAGGGTCAAGATGACCTCTAAACTTTACTGTTGTCTCCCAACAACTTTTGGGCCATCTCCCACGAGCTCTCACCCTCTGTCCTCGAAATCCACTTCATGCTGCTGGTGAAATGGCTGGCAGGGGCAACTTGTTCACCTCCTGCACCTCTGCCTGAGGCCTCCTCTCCGTCTGCTACCTGGGAGTGTCCAGTGTTGTGAAGGCAGAGCTCCGCCAGTGAGTCCCGGGCTCCCCTACCACCGCCTGCCCCACCACCCTTGTACTGTTCCCTCGGGACAGCTCACCTGCTCGGCCTCAGTGGCAGTCACCTCCCCCCCAACGGGTGTGTGAATGCACATTAACCCTACCTGCTGCTCCCTTGAGCTGCCGTGGCTGAAGGCCCTCCTCCTCCTCTTCCTCCTATCCTGTGTGAAGCCTCCTATGCCCTGGGCAGCAAACATAGCGCTCAAGGGGCCACCCCCTCTGATCTCTCCTGGCTCCGAGTTCATCCTGCCCAGCATGTCTCATCCCTCCTTCATATTGAGCATAGTCACCAGGTGCTGCTGTGAATGAAGCCAAGTCAGGAGCTGGCTGTGAGCTCTGACCAGCAGGTGTGCAGTGGGTTAGCAGAAGTCGGGAGTCTGACCACCTCATGGCAAGGACACAGGGGACAGGAAACTATGTGGTAGCGCAGAACTGAGGGTGCTCAGGAAGAAAGTTGGAGACACAGATGGAGAGAGATGTCCTGAATGTGTGAACTCTCCAGAAGTAACGAGTCCAGGCAGGGCTGCATGCCAGCGTAATGACGGGAGGATGTGCTTCCAGCAGACTGCAGGGGTGCGTGGGATACAGAGCCTAACCTTGAGTTAAAGAGCTGAGGGACAGTGTCTAGGCCCAGAGTTTAAGAACCAGGGCCAACCAAACAAAAAAGAGGAAAAGAGTGTGGAGCGTTGCTGAGAGCTGTGGGGAAGGGGAAGCGTGGGGTGTGGGTTGTCTTGGATTTGGATCTTGCTCAAGACAGCATGTGAGGTGGGTGAAGGGTGGGGTGCTCCTTGGGAGCTGATGCTGAGAGGGGATGGGGTGGTTGCAGGGAAAGCTTGCGTCCCCTCAGTAGGCAGGGAGCTGGTGGAGGATGCGCGTTGCCCCAAGTTTAGGAGGCTAAGTCCACATCCACCCTCTCCAAGATGACACAGACAGGGAAGACCTCTGGGGATGGGAACACCAGGGGTCAGGAGAGGACCAGATGTGTGTGAGGTTAATGATGACACCAGACAGCTCCCCAAGGAAACCCCAGCACCAATGTGTTGGGTGGAATAACTTTGGGCTGGATTAAGGGTGTGGGGCAAAGAGGGAATCTGGCTAAATTGACTTTGGGGGGAAGGGTACAGGGATAGTGGGGCTTGTGGTTCAAGCCTTTCTGTGCTGGTGGAGTGGCTGTGGAAACTTCAGGATCAGGAGGAGGTACCGGGCTCCGAGCCCACATTCCACTCAGCACCCGGCATAGTCCCTGGATGGCTCCTAGGGCAGGTCTGCCATCTGCTTGCTTTGCTTTTCTGTGCTGGTCCCAGGACTGGAACTCAGGGCCTGGGGCAGGTCCTTGAGCTTTTGTGTTCTGGGCTGGTGACTGTCCCCAGGGCATCAGTGCTACTTCTGGCTTTCTGTCACCCTGAAATTCATTCCTGAGAAGAAAAGGGTGGAGGTGGAGAGCCCTGGACCAGAGGCCCTCCTGACATTCAGCACAGCAGCCCTAACCTGCACCCCAGAGGCTGTGGTAAGGTGACCTCATAACAAGGGACATGAGGAACACTGCAGGAAATGTCACAATATCCAAGCAAGGGACTTTCTCAAGGAGTCTTTGTGTTGCAAAAATAACTTTACATTAAAAAATGTGCTTTTCAAAAGTACACTTAATGTCCTTGTTGAATTAGCAGAGAGTCTAGAGATATGTAACATAGACTGCCAAGGAATAGAAACAGTTGTGAAAATAAATTATGTATAAGAAATAAGCACGAAGAAGACTAAGGGAGTAACTGTCAGGAAGGAGTCTTGATGTTTGTGGTCAGTGCTACACCAGCAGGACTTCCTTCTTTTCTTCCTTCCTTCCTTCCTTGCTTCCTTCCTGTCTTTCATCTTTCCTTCCTTCTTTCCTCTTTGCTTCCTTCTCCTTCTTCCTTCTTTCCTTCCTTCCTACCTACCTTCCTTTGTTTCATTCTTCCTTCCTTACTTCTTTGCTGTCTTTCCCTCTCTCTCCTCTGTTTGTCTCTGTCTATGTGTCCCTCATTCTCTTTTTCCTTCTTTGTGCCAATTGTGGGGCTTGAACTCTGGCCTCTCTTCAATCCCTGGGACGATTTTGTTTAAATGTAGCATTCTATCACTTCAGCCAGAACACCACCTCCACCTTTTTTTTCTGAGAATCTCAGAGTTTTTTGCCTAGACTGGCTTTGAACTGTGTTCCTTAGATTCCGCCTCCTCAGGAAATCAGAACACAGCCATCATCCACCACCACCCAGCTGCTATTTTCTTTCCAACTACTTTCTTTTCCAGAACAGAAAGGGCTTTAAGAATGATTTGCTTCATTGCATAGGGAACTATTAAAGAAAGAAAAAAGACTCACAATAGAATTAGGAAAACATGTTAGGTGAGTTTAACCAGTTTATCTTAAACTTGACACCACCAACATGTAATGGGGCAGATTCGTTGGAAGAAGTTGACATGATCTAATAAGCGTTATTTCAAAATATAATACTTCCACTTTCATATAATTTTGTGGGCCAGCAAAATAGAGACAGATGAACACACACACAGATATATAGCACACAAATGTGCAGGTGTGGACATTTGTGCACACCTCTATCTCTCAGCAGATGACTTTTATCTAGGTGTGGAGATTGCTGAATGGCCAAGCAAAGTTCAGCAGAGATGCAAGCTTGGTGGTCCTCAGGGGAGGACCACTTTCTTCTTTGTTCAGTTGAAGAGGAGGCTGCAGGGAGTAGAGTGTCTGCTCATGAGCAGGAAAGGGCTGAGCGCTGGGAAATTGCCCAAAGCAAATGCCGACATATGGTGCAGCACAGGGCTGGGCTTGTAAATCACAGACAAGCAATTCTGACAGATGCAGGACACGGTATAAAAAGAGACAAAGGTGCTCATCAGGAGGAGGATGATGGTGGTGGCTCTAGACTCGAGAGAGGCTCTGATAGAGATGCTGATTCTCTGGATGTGTCGCATACTCTGTTTGTGTCTTTACGAAGAGCATGGAGGTGCTGGCACAGAGCATGAGCCCCAGACACAGAACATCAGGCACCGAGAGCATGGCCACGTACAGCACATTAGCAGCTGGGTCCTGACGCATAGAAGAACAATATCCATAGGCCTTTAAGCTCGTAATGTTGTCATGTTCTTTGGGTCCTTTCATGAACATGAGGAAAACAATGCTCAACAACAGGAAGACCCATCAGCTGAGATAGACATTTGAGAGAATGTGCTTGTGGGCTCTCGCCTTCAGCACTGCCCACTTGGAGTCCCCCTGGCTGATGCTGATAGCACGGAAGAGGTTCAGGTAGCAAGTACTACTGATCGACATCCCCCTGCACACTCAGTGAACATAGAAGACCATTTAGCACTCCACACCATTGAAGAAAATTCTCCAGCCCCAAGCCACCATGGTTTGGGGAACACCCCTACACAGAAGACTTAGGAAGTTGGCCACAATTAAGTGCCTAAGAATCAAGTCTGTGGCTCTCATCCTGTTCCCCATGCAGGAAAGGAATAGATAATGGGAGAGAAGAGACAAATTACCCACAAACCCAACCACAGTCTGGGCTAAGAGGATCACCCCCAATAGACACATGGGCATCTCCCATCCTCTCTGTTCCTTGAGTCTCATCAGGAGGCTCTGGATTGGAAACTGAGGCCAGCATGGTGCCAAGAGAACTCAACATTCTCCATCCAGCATTTAGACCACCAGAAATACTGTCCTAATGTATCTCATGTATTAGGAAAAATCCAATTCTATTCATCCATCGGGAAGAGGAAGATAACATGTTCAGGGAAATGGTGAAGCTGGAGAAATGGCATTAAGGGAAGGTGAGTCAGGTTCTGAGATGAAAGAGGCTGCATTTCTCCTCTGTAGAATCAGATCTAAGATTCTAAACAAGCAAGGTCCTAGTGGCTCAAGACTGTATTCCTAGTTACTCAGTGCTGAGACCTGGGATTCCCAATTCAAAGCCAGCCCAGAAAAGGAAAGTCTGTGACTATTCTCCACTTAAGCACCAGCAAAGAGGAGGAAGACCTGTGGCACAAAGTGGTAGAGCTCTAGAGTTGAGCAAAAAGGGCTGAAGGAATATGGGCAAGCCTCGGGTTCTAGCTCCCTAACTGACTAAAGAAAAAAATTTGAAACATGCTTAACACATTCCCGGGGTCACATGCACTTATTCCTCAATATGCTGGCTGGGGAGTGGGTACCAAATGTCTCCCTTTCCTTAACACGGAGCCCACATTTCACAGAAGAAATACCAGGAAGATGAACCAGGTCTGTGATGGGCATGGTGCGGGTGAAGGAGGAGGTGGATGACAGAGAAAGAGAGGGGGCAATTTTAGGTTCAAATGCCATTCTAGAGTGCTGTTGTGAACACATCGTCCCCAGACCCTGGACAATCAGGATTCCTCCTCACTTGTCATAAACCAAGACAGACTCTGTGAGGAAGAGGAAGTGAGGAACCAACAGGGCTTGGGGGTGGAGGGCCTAGAACCCCAGTTTTTTCACTGTCCTAGCTCATTCTTATCCTTCCCTGTGGCTTTGTCATGCATCCAGGTTCAATCCAGAATTCCTGCTCCTAAGGTGATCCTTTACCCTGAGTATGGAACCTGGGGTCTCTTCTGCAGGCTGCACCTCTCTCCTCTTCTCTCAGGATGTGTGTGGTAGGGTGGGTCGTTTCTGAGATGCACATGGGCACTTCAGAGCTGCAGAGGGCTCCTTAGATAGGGGTCCAGGAGGGCAGCAGGTGAGGTCGTCTCCCACGGGAGTGGTGATTTTCCCTTCACCTGGGGTGGCAAGCCAAGTTCCCAGTAAACTTTTTCTTTTCCCCCATGTGACAATTGTCAAGACACTTTCACTTTCTCGTGGGTGCTTCTCCATTGGGGCAGGGGAGTGGTGCAATCGCTTACCTCTCCTGGATCCCAGTAGTCAGCAGGAGACACTGAGGCCCAACTTGTGATGACTGTCTGTAAACAACCTCAGCGATGTGTAAGCCAGGTGTCCCCAAAGTTTCTTACCCAAAGTGCCCCTTCTCTTTTTTTTTCCAGTTCTGAGACATGAACTTAGGTCTTGGGCACTATTTCTGACCTTCTTTTGCTCAAGGCTAGCACTCTACCATTGGCGCCACAGAACCACTTCTGGATTTCCTATGTAAGTGCTGCTGAGGAATTGAACCCAGTGCTGCTTGCATGCTAGGCAAGCACTCTACCACTGAGCCACCTTCCCAGCCCTCCTCATTTCAGTCTGCTTTTGTTTTATCATCATATATGCTGTTAGAAAAGAAAAATGGAACACTGTAGTAATGCAATCTCAGGAGCCTGATATCAGAGAATCAAGGTTCAAAGCCAGCCTGATGAAGAAAGCAGATGAGATTCTTAGCTCTAGTTCTTATCTACACTCTCTAGTGGTGGAGTCCAGTCTGGAATAAAAGAGCCCAGCAACATCACCCAGTCCCACAGTTCAAACCCCTGGACTGGCAACAAAGAAAGAAAGAAAGGAAATAGAATGACACATTTCTGTACAGGAATTTCTTTCCCTAATTTTTTCCCCTAATTTTCCCTAATTTTTCTTTTCTTTTCTTTTTTTAATTTTATTTGTGAACATACTGTACAGAGGGGTTACAATTACATGGGCAGGATAATGTGTACATTTCTTACCAAGCATTGCAGCCTCCTCCTTTTGCTTACCCTTCACATCCCTCCCCAACCTCCCCCC